TACACACTAATTTTATTTTTTAAACTTATTTCAAATAACTTTTTATTTCTATTTTAAAATTGATTTGAGAGAGAGAGGAATGGTGACAGAGAGAGAGAGAGAGAGAGAGAGAGAGAGAGAGAGAGAGAGAGAGAGAGAGAGAGATGATAGAGACCCAGATAAAGATAGAAAGAGAAACTCAGTCAACTGCCTCCTGCACGTCCCTTCTGGGGGATGGAGCTGAAACCCAGGCATGTGCCATAACTGGGAATCTATCTGGTGACCTTTTCGTGCCTGGGATGATGCTCAACCAACTGAGCCGGGCGTACAGGCTCACTTTAATACATCAGCATACTAAATGACACACCCAGAAATCTACTAACTATTCTGTTGAGATCCTCCCCTGGGATTTCTCCTAAAACTCCCGCTGGTAGAAAACAGATAAAACCCACAGGACAAAGGACACCAGTGTGTGCTGTTCCTTGAGCAGGCCCGTGCCCCCTTTCTTAGTTGTGTACTTGGCTTCTTCTATCCTAAGCTCTAAGGGTCGGATGAGACTTGCACCCAGGGGAGCAAGTGGTAGCAGCAACTCATCCGAGCTTACCTCTTGGTCCTGTCTCCAGGGGTCCTTCCTTTGCCTCAGTCCGAAGCTTTAAGAAACTTACTCTCACTTTCACTGAAGCTCCTGTACTGAAATTTTTCCAGCACAAGTCAAGAACCTGGAGGTGGAGAAAGGTCCTGGACCATGCCGGGGCAGGGCCAACCCTGGTGTGGAAGAGGCCCAGGAACACCAGGTGGTAGTTTGTCAGTTTTAGCCCCACTTTCTCCTTTGCTTTCTGTTTGGAATTTTGAAGAATTCCAGAAGTATTGAAAATTCATACCTAAACTGCATATTCTGAGACTGGGATGTGTCTGTGAGAGAGGGGGCGGATAAAGCAAATGAGTTATAATGTGCTAATCTAATTGTTTTCATAGGTGACTTTGAGAAGCAGAAAACTTTCTGTGGGCAAAGGGGCTATAGATGTTAGGAGAGAGGAAGTTGGGTAAACACCCTGTGTTGCTTTTACCACTTTCCTGACAATTCCAGGATCTTAGAAAGTTTTAACTCTAATTACCCTTCTACCTTTGTATTATTATTGTGTGTTTTAATTTCAGTCTTGAAATTTAATAGCAATAAACATCCCTAGAGCTTAGATAAAGATCTTAAAATACCATTACTCACTAACAGACATCCGAGTTGCTTGGAGAAATGGCTGATTCCAGGTGTGGGGCTAAAAAGGATATTTTTTTCTCTCATCTTTTAAATTCTTTTGGCTGGGCTAGTAAATTAACAGAGACAGATTAACAAGAGAAAACCAAAGCTTAATACATGTGCATGGAGAATTCATATAAGCATGAAAATTTCAAAGACAGTAAGGCAACATTGTGTATAAAAAACATTTTTGGACAAAGAAGAAAGAAGGGGAGGCAGAGTATTCAGAAGTGAGATTTCAGAAGTGAGAATGGGTGATATTCAGGTAGTTGAGGAGGAGGGGAACATAAGTGGCAGGAGAATTCTTGTTAGGCAACTCAGAAGCAATGGGACACAGGGTATCTAGGTAACAGGCCCAGCCTGAAGCCCTCTCGTTTTCTGCACTTACTTCAAATTAGGCTGAGGCAAACATCCTAAGATTTCCTTCCTGGAGTAGGCCTTTCCATCTGAATCTCTTACACAGAAAGGGAAGGGTCAAAGGTTCTTTCCGAATCTTTTGTTTCTTAATAAACAGCTTAAAATCAATATCCCAAGAGGCAAAACTTTTGGCTCTCTTCACAGGTTTGAGGCAGGAAATGTGCAAAAAAAGTATAAAAAACAATCTGCAGTGCCTTCTGATATGGCTGTATTTAACCCAGTTATTAATTAACTGGAAAGGAACAAAGGGAAGGCTGAATAGTATAGGCATGCCCAGTAAAGTCTGGGTGACATAGGGAAGGTACTGGTCAGTTACACCTGGTAACAGGTCATTGGCCAGGATGGTATGGCCACTGCATGGGCGAGAAACTGGAGATACATAAACAAAGGAGTTCCCTCTCTTGCCCTTGAACCTGACTCTTGGCTTCAGGGCTCCCATGCTCTGCACTCATCCACAGCCCACAGCCGTGTGGACCCCACACACAATGGACTGATGGAATAAAACTAGCATGATGCTACATTGGACCCAGCTCCACCATGGGATGACACGCTGGACATTGGCTTTGCTTTTAGCTCTGCTGAATCCCCAGGTGCACTTCTTCCAGGACTGGTTTAAGGGAAATGGGACTTTTAAAACCCAGAGATGTAATTCCACGCAAATAAAGCTTTCTACCACATCTCATCCTCCCACGAGGGCCTCTGGAAATTCTTACTCCAGTGGTACCCTCAAGAGCCCCACTCTTACTAATAAAGGAGGGCAATCCACGCAATTCTCTGATAACATTTCCACTGGCTCAAGATAGAGTAAACTGAGCATAAATAAGAGTAGCTGCAACACACTGAAAAATGCCACGTACATTTAAATGCTTGAGTCCACAATAATTAAAAAACACCAAGAAATCTAATAAATCGCCTTTGAAGGATGCTAATAACTGCTTATTTTGCAAACTAGTACATAAAGATGAAGGAACCAAAGTTCTGCCACTCTGAAGCTGCTTTTTGGGATATTGATTTTAAGCTGTTTAATTAGCTATCTAAATGAGATCACACCAGCTGGGGTGTGATCCCATTTAACTTCACCTTCACATGGACCCTATCTCCAAATACATTTTTGCATTGGCAATAAGGACTTCAACCTATAAATTTTGGGGGACACAAGCATTCAGTCCATAACACAGCATATATTTACATAAATGTGAAAATAAAGGCTAATGTGCCTATAAGTAGTTAGTACCCTAGATGTTGATCTTATTTCAATTAAAGCTAAAAATTAAAAATACGAATTGTGAGAAACAGCAACTTTTAAATTTGGATACTTAAAGAGTCCTTTTAGTCATGCTTCAAATCATCTCCACAGTTTTAATCATTTCATAAAACAGTTTGCCTTCCCACAGCAACAGCCTGCATGCAGTTATCCTATATAATAAAGAGGTAATATGCAAATTGACCATCACTCCAACACACGATGGCTGCCTCCATGTGGCCACAAGATGGCCAGCAGGGGAGGGCAGTTGGGGGCGACCAGGCCAGCAGGGGAGGGGAGTTGGGGGTGACCAGGCCAGCAGGGGAGGGCAGTTAGGGGTGACCGGGCTGGCAGGGGAGCATTTAGGCTTCAATCAGGCTGGCATGGGAGTGATTAGGGGGTGATCAGGCTGGCTGGCAGAAGCAGTTAGGGGCAATCAGGCAGGCAGGCCTAAACGGGCAGTCAGACATCCCTCGAGGGGTCCCAGATTGGAGAGGGTGAAGGCTGGGCTGAGGGAACCCCCCCCCCCCCAGTGCAAGAATTTTGCGCACCGGGGCCTCTAGTAGTAAAATATTTTTTGTTCATACTACAGTGATTTGGAAATTGGGATAATTCTGACAGAACTGTTTACCTTCTAATCCTTACTTGTGTGCACAAATCAATAGAAAAAAGAATTTTACAGAAAATAGGAGCTGCAAATTAAACACCTCAGATCACAAACTATTTTCAATATCCTTCAAACACCTCTGAATCCTTTTCTGTAAAAACACTCAATACTGTCATCCTTACAAAAAAATATGCTGGCTACACAAGTGAAATGCTAGAGCTTGAGAATACTAAGAAGAATAAGATGTGATCCAAGGTCCCAAAACTAGCTAAGAGACATACTTATGCATATATAAATGATGTATCCTTTACATGTGACAGTGGGAGTTTACTGTGGCTGAAACAGTCAGGAAAAATCCTCAGAGGTTGGACTTGAATCAGAATTTTATAGGACCTACACAAGTTAAAAGCAGGGGAGCCCTGGCTGGTGTGGCTTAGTTGGTTGAGCATCGTCCAGTGCACTGAGAGTCACTGGTTAGATTTTAGTGGGGGCACATATACCAGTTGTGGGCTGGATCCCCAGTAGGGGGCGTGCAAGAGGAAGCCAATTGATGTTTCTCTTAACGATGTTTCTCTTTCCTTCTCCCTTCCTTTTCCTCTAAAATCAATAAAAAACATATTATTTATTTAAAAAGAATGTTCTTCAAAATAAATAAATAAAAGGAGGGAAAAGTTGAGTGAAACTGTTCGCATCTATTCCATAAAACAGATCTCTAAGCATGACTAGGCAACATATTGGTCCAGCATTGACTGCTAAATGTTCTTGAGAGCAATAAAATAGTCTGTAATTCAGTTACAGACGGAAAGAGTCTATAATTCAGTTATTTCATTAATTCAGACTATCCTTCAACTCAACTGGCCCAAATTCAAGCAGTTTACCACATATAGTGCTTTATTTATTTTTATTGAAAATGCAAAGTCATATTAAAGAACGACATTTAAATAAATTAAAAATCATTCCATATCCCTCTACACTAACACAATGAATTTCAGTTTTGCAAATTACCTTCCACATGCATAAAGATTTTACAAAATCACAATCATAGGGTTCATACTATTTTACATTGTGCTTACTTTACTTATTATTTTATAGACACGTCCATATTTCTACAGTCTTCCAAATCATTATTTTAATAGCAGTATAACATTTCACTGTTTTTATTAGCCCATTTTCTTCTTTAACATGTAGATTATTTCCAATTTTTTGCTATTATAAGTAATACAGACATAAACATCTTCATGCATTTGCCTTTTTTTGGTTTGTTTTGTTTTTACATTATTTTTTAGGAGTAGAATTTAAGGGCAAAGATATGGTCAATTTCATGGCTCTTTCTATGTAGTACCAGGTTGCAATCCAAAAGGGTTGAATCTATTTATTTTATTTATTAAATATATTTCTTTATTGATTTCAGAGAGGATGGGAGAGGGAGAGAGAGATAGAAACATCAATGATGAGAGAGAATCATTGATCAGCTGCCTCCTGCATGCCCCCCACTGGGGATTGAGCCTGCAACCTGGGCATGTGCCCTGGGCCAGAATCAAACCTGGGACCCTTCAGTCCGCAGGCCAACGCTCTATCCACCGAGCCAAACCGGCCAGGGCATTATATCTATTTAAATGCCATCTAAAGTAAATGCATTTACACAGTTTCTTTCTAAAATTAAAAAAAAAGAAGTGTTAAGTAATTTTAAACTTCTGTATTTAAAGTTAAAAATAACTGTCTCTTTTTAAAAAAATGAAGGGTGTGGATAGATGGTCTAAACAGATTACTAGAAGTTTAGATGAGTTAACTAAAGCAACGTTTCCCAACTTTTCTCAAGTTATAGCACACAGGGACAATTATAGAAAATGGACAAAGGTGTTGCTGGCCCAGAAATTCCAGCCACCCAGGCCACTTATGGCTGCCCCAAGGGTTATGAGGATCCACATCTAGGCACACGTATGACCAAAAGTGCCTGTGTGCATGATGGGCTGGGAACCTCTAATTGAGGAGAGGTTCTAGTTAGTGGCAGAGCTGGGAAATGGATGCAAACTTCTAATCAAGGTATTTTCTACTATATCACAACTGTTCTGCATGCTTTCTGCTCTAAAATTCAATTTTATATGCAGACGTGTCTATACTTAAGAATAAAGAGGATTTTCTAACATGCTTAAAAGAAAGATACCTAACCTAGTGATTTATATCAAAGCTGAATATTAAAAACAGTTCTTACCATCAGCAAATGTTTGGCTATTTTCTTTGCAATTTTTCAGATATGCCATTTTTTTACATTTAGTTTGTAAACTCTCAACAATAATTATCTTTTGCACAGTATCTTATATATATGTTAATCAGTAAATAAAGAATAACAATGAATTATACACACAACAAAGGAAAAAAACCTAGATTTAAAGTAAGACCACATTCTAAATAATTCTAAAGGTGATAAAAAAAATTTTTTTTAAAGTGTTGATTTTGCAGAGGTAGAGAAGATTCCCTCCTTAAATTTCAAATTCCCTACTAGCTAAATAGAACCTTAATGTACACTGTCAATTACATTAGAGGGTCATAAGAGACATTTCATTCCAAAGAATGATTCTGTCCTGCACCCAGTGTTCATGCTACCAGGAGAAAAAATTTACTACAAAGGCATTTCACCTTTTACCAAGTGTCCAATATTCCATACCACCTTCAAAAATCAGAGATTATAGATGCTAGCTAACCCCATTGTTTCAATTGCAAACATACATTAGATTTCTCTTGATCATTCATCACTGGGTTGAGGTATAGAGTGGGTGTTAGAAATGAAAATTTACCTATTATGCGCCAGGCCAAAACAAGAAGCAAGGAACTCCAAACTCTGCATTTTTTTTTTTACTACACCCCAAAACAGTGATTACTCGGTCATTTCTACAGATCCAATCAGACATTATACACACAAACGCATCCGTGGGACCGCATGGCACTTGGAAGATTACCCACGATTTCCCACTTATTAAGGTCTGGATCATACTTTTCAATGCTCTGAAGATATGTTCCCTTTGAATAGGAATATCCCCCAGTGACATAGATACATCCATTCATGATGACAGCACCACACTCCATCCTTCTTTCCATCATGGGAGCTATCTCTCTCCACTCATTTTGTTCAGGGTCATAGCATTCTGTGATTGTAGTTTGTCCACCAACTAGATAGAGCTTACTTTCAAATGGAACTGAACACAGTCCATATTCTATTAAAAAGAAAAAAGCAAATTTTAGTAGGATAACAAACAAAAGAGATACCTTAGGGTGGTGATGTAACGATCCTTTATAATTATGCATACAAACATAGAATAGTCGTGACATTTTGACTCCAGCACACACTACCACAACACTGGGCCATAAGATCCATTCCCTTTCACCTGCCATGCTCTCTACCACATTACCCTGTTTTAATTCTCTCCATAGCACTTTTCATGATCTGGTGTGTGACTTGTTTCCTGTATCCCTGCTGTCTGCTCCATTTCCAGTTGGAGAATGGCAAGTATATGGACCCAATAAGTGTTTGTTGGATCAATGAATAAATTGTACCCTTTGCCTTCTGTGCCTAAATATGCCCTCCTGTGATTTTGTGAAAGAAAAGCTTTATAAGCCCCTCTTCAGAAAGAGACAATGTGAGATCAAAAATGTGATTTCCCCATTAAGAATGGAAGACAAATTCTTATCAGTTAAGTTCTTGCTATCTAGGTTTTAAAGGCTAAAGAAGACTCAGAAGATGGGCATTTTTGTTTTGAGTCCACATTCTGTTGTTGTCAAGTTTCTGACAAGAAAATAAGAATTCTCCCACCTCTGAAAAACCCACTTGTTCCTTTCTAGTTATATACACGTAGAATTTTTATTGGATTTAGTTGCTTAAAATATTTGTGAAACATTGTTTATATAAATTACTAGAGACCCAGTGCACAAAATTTGTGCACGGTTAGGGTCCCTAGGCCTGACCAGCAATCAGGGCCAATCAGGTTCCCCGCCTCCCTGCCTCCCCCTTCCCTCGATCCCTCAGTGCCCCATCATGTTTTGCACCGCCCCCTGGTGGTCAGCGCACATCATAGCGAGTGACTGAACTCCAGGTCTCCTGGTCAAAGTCCTGAGAGGACAATTTGCATATTAGCCTTTTATTATATAGGAGGATATGAATCATTCCATCAAATGGTTATTGTGAAAATTCATGATGACACAAAAATTTTATGAGTTGATGTGATTCAACAATGAGTTCACGAGGCTTTTCTTAAATTATTCAAAGTTTACCCAAAAACCCTCTATTTGTGGTTTGTATATTAAGAGAGTTATCTTGCCTAGCTGGCATGGCTCAGTGGTTGAGCATTGACCTATGAACCAGGAGGTCACAGTTCAATTCCTGGTCAGGGCACATGATTGGGTTTCGGGCTCCATCCCATGTGCGGTATGCAGGGGGCAGCCAATCAATGAGTCTCTCTCATCATTGATGTCTCTGTCTCTCTCTCCCTCTCCCTGCCTCTCTGAAATCAATAAAAATATATTTAAAAAAGAAAAGAAAGATATCTCAATCTTCCTATAGCAATAAGTATATTTAAAATAAAGTGGTTCCTGCCCTAGCTGGTTTGGCTCAGTAGATAGTCAGCCTTTGGACCGAAGGGTACCAGTTTCGACAATGGTCAAGGGCATGTACCTCAGTAACAGGCACCTCCCTGACCTGAGCCCTCTCTCTTCCACTTTCTCTCAAAACCAATGGAAAAAATATCCTTGGGTGAAGATTAAAAATAAAATACAGTGATTCCTGATAATTTTTCCCATTACCCAAATACAACATAAAGTTCTATTACATTGATGGAAACTCTTTCTTCTTCAGCTGTAACTGCCTTGTTTCTTGTTGGTCACTCTATGAAGTAACTGAGGCCCAGGGGCTGAATCTTATTTATTGTGCTCCCAGCACTGAAAGTAGCATATAGAAAGCACTCAGCAAATATCTGTTAGACAAATGAATAAATGAACAATTTCAAACCAAGCATGAGAATAGTGCCATTTGTCACGGCTCTGAGTTTACACACAAATATTTACTACAAATGCATGGCAGTCTGCATTAGGTATTACATGAGTGAAGTGAAAAAACCCATGCAGGATTCAGAGACAACCACAATATTTTCATGTATGAAATACTCATTGAAATGATTTCAAATGTTTTTTTTTCCTAAGCAGATGTGAGGAATGTTATAGATTTGACGTTGACCCTGGAGTGACTGTCAACTCCTTTCTCTCCATCATTTCCTGTATGTAATCAGTCAAGATAGCAATCACTCTTCTGACTAAAGAGACCTATACAGCTTATGTAACATAACTTCCTTATCCCATTGGAAAGTAAGAACCAAGAGCTAAGCTGTTACTCTGGAGAGCCAGGAGAGAGCTCTCTTCCCACATGACACAGCCATCCACCGCTTTTTCTCCTTTATCACTTACAGCTGCTTCACTGTTCTTCATGCTCTCTTCTTCCTCAACTCAACCCTTAACTAATGCTATTTCTCAAGGTTCTGCCCATAGCTGTACTGTTGGTCCCACCCTCCCATGACATCTCATTCATCCCCACACCCATAGCCATCACCTCCAAGTAAACAATTCCCAGATCTATATTTAGCTGCATTCTTCCTCCTGAGTTGCAGAATCGCAATTCCTATTGCTTTCTAGACAGCTCCTCTGGTTATCCAACTCATTTTTCACATTCAACTATAAAACTGAGCTCATTATCTCTCCACTTCTCCCTTCCTATTGGCTCTTCCTTCAATCCTCCCCATCCTCCCAGTCAACCAGCCAGAGACCTTGGAATGACTCTCAACTACTTTCTCTCCCTCATTTCCTATATCTAATCAGTCAAAACAGCAATCACTACCAATTCAATCAATGTCGAATCTATAACATTCCTCATATCTGCCCATTTTCTACTCCACCACTTCAGGCTTTCAGCATTTCCTGCCTGGTTTATTACCAATAGTTTTAGTAGATCTCACTGCCGTCTTTCTCCCAATCTATTCTAAAAGGAGCTCTCTTCTTAAAACTAGAACGGATCACACCCCATTCTCTTGCTCTGACACCTCTGACAGTTCTCCATTTTTAAATTTTCCTGGCTCATATTTCTTCCTGACAGCAATCACTGTGGCCAAGGAGTGGTTGTTGCCTTAGATGAGGCTTGTATGCTCTGCAGCACCAGTCTCTCCAGGAATCGAGAGCCCTCCAAAGCCCTCCATGGTACACTCCTCAACTGAACTTTCTCATCCAGTCTCTCATTCTACCCTCTTACATCTCATTCATATATATCTACTCCAGAAACTGAAATAAACCTGGAACTTTCCCTTCTGCCTTCCTTCACTGGCTAATTTTCTGCCAGAAAACCTTCCTCAAAAACTACCTTCCTTAATTACAGCCATTCTTTAAGGCCTAAATCATAACAAGCTACTCCTGAAGCTTCTAGATTCCCCTTAATTAGACTCGAGCTCTCTCTCCCCTCAATTTCAATAGCAGGTAGTTGTAAGATTGTCTTGTATTCCCATTATGAATGTACATTTGCTACCAGATTCTGAGTTCCTTTGGTAGTAGAGACTATCCTTTAATTATCTTTGTATCTTACATAATAACTGGAATGATATCTTTCCCCAAGTAAGGTCTCAAAAAATATTATGTTCGATTCCCGGTCAGGTCACATGCCTGGGCTTGAGGCAGTCAATCGATATTTAGCTCCCACATCGATGTTTCTATCTCTCTCTCCTTATCTTATCCTCTCTCTCTCAAAATCAATTTTTAAAAAACGTTAAAAATTAAAAGATCATGATTATATTATGTTCTAAAAATAATAGTAGTCTAAGCTATATATAAGGTAGACTTATAGATATAAGACATTCTTCAGGAGGTGCTCCTAAAATGCTAAGAAGCATACCTTGTACATGGGAGGGTGGGTAGGGCCAGGGAGGAGGAGGGTAAAGGGGAGGGAAATGGGAGATAGCTATAATACTATCAACAATAAAAATATATTTAGAAAGAAAAAAAGAAGCAGACCTTGCTATAATTTAGACAATGTAGATCCAAATGCCTCTAAGGCAGTGGTTCTCAACCTTCTGGCCCTTTAAATACAGTTCTTCATGTTGTGAACCAACCATAAAGTTATTTTCGTTGCTACTTCATAACTGTCATGTTGCTACTGTTATGAATCGTAATGTAAATATCTGATATGCAGGATGGTCTTAGGTGACCCCTGTGAAAGGGTCGTTCGACCGCCAAAAGGGTCGCGACCCACAGGTTGAGAACCGCTGCTCTAAGGGCTAAGGAGATAACAGACTAGCAGAATGAAGCAGGCTAGGGGTAAAAACAACAGCACGGGCCCTAGTTCTGTGATGTGAGGAGAATGGGAGATACTACTGACATCATCTAAAGGCAACAGCCACTACTTGGCCACAGTGATTGCTGTCAGGAAGGAATATGAGCCAGACCTGCCAAGTTTTCTAAGACCAGAAATCATGGTTTTTATTTGAAATCTCCTGAATTTTAAATATTGGTAACAAGCCAGTTCAAAAATATTTTAAACACTGTAAGAGCCAAACAGAATATCCCATGCAGAGTGCTAATTTGATAACTTTGTTTCTTATATTACTTCAGGGAAAAGTCTAATGAAAATCAAAACTTTAAAAATTGGATTATAGCCCTGACCTGTTTGGCTCAGTGGATAGAGTGTCGGCCTGTGGACTGAAGGGTCCCAGGTTCGATTCTGGTCAAGGGCATGTACCTTGGTTGCAGACACATCCCCAATAAGGAGTGTGCAGGAGGCAGCCGATCGATGTTTCTCTCTCATTGATGTTTCTAGCTCTCTATCCCTCTCCCTTCCTCTCTGTAAAAAAAATAATCAATAAAATAAATTTTTAAAAAATTGGATTATAAGTTCCCCCTGATTTATACTGTAATTTAATATTTATTTCTAATTGATTTTTCAATTTGTCATGGCTTTTCACACCTTGGCTTAAGTCTCACTGACTTCTAGACTTTTTCAAGCAGTGAACAAGTTATATGTAATTAGAACATGCTATGGGATATTTTTCAAAGAACTCCTTTATGAAATACATATTATTTATAATGTAAATAACTATCCTCTAGTTTGTTAATCTGACTTTTCATATATTGGATTTTCTTTGTAAAGCTAAATCAGAGTAATAGCTAACTCATAAGGTTAACGGGAGGATCAAATGAGATAACAGTGTAGTTGTGAAGAGCATGGTGTTCCCAGGCAGATTGCCTGGATTAAAACCTCACCTCTAACGAGCACTAGCTGGCTGACCTTGGGCAATTTATTTACTGTGTGCCTTAGAAAATAGAGATAATAATAGCATCTAGCTCACAAGATTGCGGTAGGGTTTACGTGGATGAACACATGTAAAACTATTGGCATAGTTAGTTCCTGGCACATTCTTACTGAATAAATGTTAGCTATTAATCAATATGAGCTGTTAATATTATTTTCCATTATAACTTCATTGGTCATATGGAAAGTGGTGGGAGTCTGCGATAGTACATATGGGCTACTAGGAAACAGTCTCTCCATTCCATGACATCTTCAGAGCCAGGACAGCCTGAGGCTGAAGTGTCTTCTTATGCAAAGCCCATGACATACGGAGATGCAGCCCCTGATCCAGGTGTGCTCTACCTGAATTGTGAGATGACATATGTGACCTATGGGTATTAGTAGCTGCACTGGTCAAAAGCAGGAGAGCCTGCTCCCTTAAGGAGAGGCAGCCTGCTTAGTAGTTACAGCACAGGTTATGCAATTTGTCTGAACTGAATCCTCATCTATCACTTCCAAACTGTGTGTCCTTGGCAAAGGTACCTATCCTTTCTAAGCCTCCATTTCCAAATATGTAACAGGTAAACAATACCTACTAACAGGGTTGTGGTTAGAATTTAAGGTAATATTACATGCAAAGTGTTTAGTTAATATCTGGCCTATGAGAAGTGCTCAAGGTTAGCTGTTACTATTACTCTCAGAGGGTTCCAGCTTGTGAATTTCAGTTACGCTCCCCAGTAACCCACATGGAAGCCTGATGCTATATGGAAAATGACTCAAAGTAGTATGGTGATTTGGTGATATAAATCTTTCCTAATGAGAAACTTAAACATAAGGCATAACTGTAACAGGACATAGCTTATGCTTTCCCCAAGTTCTTCAAAGACACAAGTCAAAGAACAAAAGACACCATAGAAAGCAGGCCATTCCTTGTGGGCAGACATGTCTTTATGATTGTTAAAGTAAGGCCAACATAAGGCTCTACACGTGGTAGGAGGGAGTGCTTAATAGTTATTGAAACCCAGAAAGAGTATGCTTCTAAAAGAAGAAAACATCTCCTGCTGAACCGAATCACTCGGTACCCTTCCCAATATTTGATAGACTAGTGCCTTTTATCTGTCTATAAAAGTTATGTTTTATATAATGCATGTAAATGAAAAAAAGCACATAAGGAAGACAAAAAAGAATCTAAGTGAAAAAAATGTTTCTTTAATACACTTTTATTGATTTCAGAGAGGAAGTGAGAGGGAGAGACAGAAACATCAATGATGAGAATCATTGATTGGCTGCCTCCTGCATGCCCCCTACTGGGGATCGAGCCTGCAACCTGGGCATGTGCCCTTGTTCGGAATCAAACCCGGGACCCTTCAGTCCGTAGGCCGATGCTCTATCCACTGAGCCAAACCAGCTAGGGCTGAAAATTTTTTTTAAAGAAACTACTTTTATTCACAGAGGCTTAAAATGTATGTTGTGTAATGACATGTGGGGAAGTATCTGTAGACATGATCTAATCTGAATAATCTAAATTGTGATTATTGTTACATGGACACATGACTATTTTGAGCCTTTTAATTAAACCCATGTGCAATCTACTATAAACTTAGCATTTTCCTATTTCCAGCCCATTTTTAGCCATCTCTCACACTGATAGGCTGTGTATCACGAAATGCACTATTCAGACAGCATTTTGTTACCTGGATGGGGACCAGAAGTGATGAGGCTCCATTCATTGATATCCGAATTGTAGCTCTGGACCTTGTCATAGGTGCAGCTCCCTCTGTAGCCACAGTGTCCACCAATGACGTAGATAACTTCATGTAAGACACAGGCAGTAGCATTTCCCACACCTGTGTGTCAATTAAAATCACATCCTCAGATTGATCTTTCATTCTGCTTTGCAATGAATAACTGTATTGTCTTTGTTATGGATACTAGATATAAGGCACTGTCCTAGGTGCTCTGAGGGATAGAAGAATGAAAAAGAAAGGCTCCTGCCCTGATAGTGTGTCTCAATGGTGGAGCGTCGACCTATAAACCAGGGGTTCACGGTTCGATTTCTGGTCAGGGCACATGCCTGGGTTGCAGGCTCAATCCCCAGTGTGGGGCGTGCAGGAGGCAGCCGATCAAAAATTCTCTCTCATCGTTGACATTTCTATCTCCCTCTCCCTCTCCATTCCTCTCTGAAATCAATAGAAATATTTTTAAAAAATAAAAAGAAAGGCTCCTTATACTCTTTTAAAAGAGGATGAGACATTTACACAACTAGAATACAGGGTACAGACCTACTACTGTGGATGTGCAAAACAAAGAGACATTACTTTTGACTAGGGAAATCATGGCAGGAGGTGGCAATATTTGACTTGGGCCTTAGTAGGTAGGACTTTGTCAGGCAGAGGTGAGAGGAAGCCACTGAAGTGAGGGCAAGGCAAGTGCAAAGGCTTACTGGACAATTCAAGTAGTTGTTTTGATTCTGCCACCCTGGAAGGGATGGTGACACACCTGGGGTTGACCTGTGGCAATTAAAGCTGGCAGAGTAAGTTGGAGCCACGTGGCAAAGAATCCTGATGCCCAATTTAAAAATTTGCACTTGATTCAACAGGATTTTGTTGTTGTTGTTAATCCTCACCTGAGGATATTTTTCCATTGACTTTTTTAGGGAGAGCAGAAGAGAGAGGGAAAGACAGAGAGAATCACTGATGTGAGAGAAACACATCAATTGGTTGCCTCCTGCATGAACCCTGACCAGGGCCCAGGCTGGGGAGAAGCCTGGAACCAAGGACCAGAATCGAACCCGGGACCCTTTGGTCTGCAAGCTCTATCCACTCTGCCAAACCAGCTAAGGCGATTCAACAGGATTTTTAAAGTTTTTAAACAAAGGAAAGGAGGAACTACAGCATAGAAGGATAGAATTGGTCCAGGTGCAAAGTGTTGAGGGCCTGAGTTAGAAGCAGTCTTGGTATAGAGCAGTGGTTCTCAACCTTCCTAATGCAGTTCTTTATGTTGTGGTGACCCCCAACCATAAAATTATTTTCGTTGTTACTTCATAACTGTAATGTTGCTACTTTATGAATCGTAATGTAAATATCTGATATGCAGGATGTATTTTCATTGTTACAAATTGAACATAATTAAAGCATAGTGATTAATCACAAAAACAATATGTAATTATATGTGTTTTCCGATGGTCTTAGGCAACCCCTGTGAAAGGGTCGTTCGACCCCCAAAGGGATCGCGACCCACAAGTTGAGAACGGCTGGTATAGAGGAAGGTGCACAGCGGCAAGAGACACAGGTAAAACAGAAGGGCCTTGATGACTGATTGAGTTGAAGACAAGACGGATTCCGAGGTCCCTAGCTCAGAAAACCGGGAAACGCTGATGCCGCAGAAAAATGAGAAAGAGAAAATGGTTTCGGCAGGGGAACAAGAAGAGAGAAAGAATGATGATGAAGCTCATTTTAGTCAAAATGTCAGCTTAATCTTTCAACCGACTTTTATTTTCGGATATTGCATGGTGGGTGCAGTTCAGGCTCCTCGTTCATTTCTACTCCAAAACAAAACTGAGTTTATTTCTTTAATATGTTTTTATTGATTTTTAGAGAGAGGGAGAAGGATCAAGAGATAAAAACGTCAATGAGAGAGAAAACCTCATTGATCAGCTGCCTCCTGTACTCCTCCCTCCGCCCCCCGCCCCCATCCCCACCCCCACTCCCAATGGGGATGGAGCCTGCAACCCAGTATGTTCCCTGGCCAGGAATAGAACTAATGACCTCTTGATTCCTGGGTTGATGTTCAACCACTGAGCCACTCCAGCTGGGCCAAAAGTGAGTTTATAAGCAGGGCAGTTATGATGAGAGGGGTAAGAAAAGTTACGAGTTCCTAAAAAGCCATCTATTTATTTCTTCTCTGTACCTCCCTTAACCAAAAAAGAAAGTTAATTTGAAATTTGACTCTACCCAATTTAAGGTCTCATTCCCCGGGAAAGAAGCTAGTTCACTTAGAGACTACAAAATAAAACAAACTGGGGGAAAATGTTCTCCTTTCTACATAAGAACGGGAAACTAAAAGTTCAGCATGAGTCTGAGCATCAGAACTAGCCAAAACTGCACATAACTGACAAAGTGTTAGCCTTCCCTGGGATGATGAGGTATAATCAGGAATCAAACCTTCAAGGTGAAAGTATAAAACTTTGACATTTCAAACCCAGCTGGTAGGTGAGGGAGGGCTTTTGCATATGAGGGCCTCCCATTCCTCTTAAGCTATCAAGAACACATTCAGCTTTCTTTCATGGTGGATACACCATTGCAGCATTTTATTTTCAGCAAGCGTTGCTTCAAAAGTTTTAACAAAATTTCAGTAAAGTCATAGGTTTCTGCCCTCAAAGCAATATAATGTAAACTACAAAATCACTGAAACTTAAAAAAAAAAAAAAAATCACCGAAACTTATCATTAAGAAGCAGAGGCAGCCAAACAGGTGTGGCTCAATGGTTGAGCACCAGCCTATGAACCAGGAGGTTCAATTCCCATCAGGGCACATGCCCGGGGTTGCAGGTTCGATCCCCAATGGGGGGCAGCCGATCAATGGTTCTTTCTCAACATTGTTGTTTGTATCCCTCTCTCCCTCTCCCTTCCTCTCTCTGAAATCAACAAAAACATTTTTTTATTTTTAAAATTATTTTATTATTTATATATTTGTTTTTCAACATCTTTTTTTTTTTTTTAATCCTCACCCGATGGTATTTTTCCATTGATTTTTAGAGAGAGTGAAAGAGAGAGGGAAAGACAGAGAGAAATATCAATGTGAGAGCAACATCGATTGGTTGCCTCCTGCACTCGCCCTGGAGCCTGCAACCAAGGTACATGCCCTTGACCCTGGGACCCTTCAATCCACAGGCTGACACCCTATCCACTGAGCCAAACTGGCTAAGGCAACAAAAACATTTTTTTAAAAAAGAAAAGAAACAGAGGCAGGAATGTATCTAGGTTTACGGTAACTGCTAAGATATTTGCAGTGGCCTTATTTCTTTTGTAAAAGAGGAGTCGGACAGGACCTTTGGAATCACCATGGAGAGGGGACTGAAAATCTGTTAAGTGGGGGTCATGCTCAGCTAGAGTCAAAAATCAGAGCAGCAATAGCAGCGGGCGTTAAGCCACCTTTTCCCACCCTACCAACCATTTCTGCACCGTTGGGCATGAAGGAGAGTGGTCAGGATTTAAGATGAAAAATACTTCCGCCCCATCAAAGCTGTCATGTTCTTCTATAATGACGTTCCTGAGTACAATGCCTAATGCTGGTAAGTGCTTCCCAGGCATAAGTTCATTTAGTCCTCTCAAAACTCTAAACTAAGTAATGTCACCCCCATTGTACAGACGGCCATTTGCCGAAGCTCGCCAGCAAATGAGTGGAAAGTTGGGATTTGGACTCGGGCAGTTCCATTTCAGAAGCAGTGTGCCTGATCACAAGGCTATTTTGCCTCTCAGGCTTCCTGCTTGTCATCCAAGGATCATACCAGGTCAGATTCCCACGCCAGGTCAGATTCCCACACCCTCGCCAGTGTTAAAAAAGAAACAGAAAGGCCTGGGAAGAAACATTTGGAATAAAATGACACAAATTTGGTAACCAACCACCAATTGTTTTAGTGCAGCTCCCCAGCACCAAAAAAATAAATGTAATTAAGATTCCAGTGTAGCTTTTTTCCGGGGGGAGGGAAGGAGAGCAAGGCTAATCTAGTACCAAACAGCTAGTGCCTGCCTCTCTCTTTAACACTATGAGACAAGACTTGAATCAAAAATGCAGAGGCTCAACAAAGAAGTGCTGGCGAGGATGTGGAGAAAAGGGAACCCTGTGCACTGTTAGTGGGGATGCAGACTGGCACAGCCACTGTGGAAAACCGTATGGAGTTTCCTCAAAGAATTAAAAGTGGATCTGCCTTTTGACCCAGTGATCCCACTTTTAGGAATATATCCAAAGAAACCTGAAACACTAATTCGAGAGACTATATGCAGCTCTGTGTTCATAACAGCATTGTTTACAATAGCCAAGATCTGGAAACAGCCCAAGTGTCCAAAAGCTGTGGTACATTTACACAATGGAATACTACTAGGCCATACAAAAAAAAGAAAGAACACCTTACCTTTTGTGACAGCATGAATGAACCTGAAGATTATAATGCTAAGTGAAATAAGCCAGTCAAAGAAAGATAAATACCATATGATCTCGCCCTAACCAGTTTGGCTCAGTGGATAGAGCCTCAGCCTGCAGACTCAAGGGTCCCAGGTTCGAGTCCGGTCAAGGGCATGTACCTTGGTTGCAGGCACATCCCCAGTAGGGAGTGTGCAGGAGGCAGCTGATCGATGTTTCTCTCTCATCGATGTTTCTAACTCTCTATCCCTCTCCCTTCCTGTCTGTAAAAAAATCAATAAAATATATTTTTAAAAAATACCATATGATCTCACTAATATGTGGAATCTAATGAACAAAATAAACCGAGGAACAAAAAAGAAGCAGATGCATGGATATATGAAACAGATTAACAGCTGTCAGAGGGGAGAGAGCTTTTTTTTGGGGGGGGGAACTTTAATTTTGTGAAAGAAGGTGAGGGAATCAAGCAAAAATCAAACAAACAAACCATAACATACCTATATAACACATAAATACAGATAACTGTGGTGACTGCCAGAGGAAAAGGGCAGTGGGGAGTAAGTGGAGGTGGGCAAAGAGGGGGAGAATGGGGACAGAAAGAGACTTTGCTTGGGTGATGGAACCACAATGCCACGTGCAGACGATGTTTTGTTGAGTTGTACACTTGAAACCTGTATGGTTTTGTGAACCAATGTCACCCCAATAAATTCAACTAAAAAAAAAAAAAAGCAGAGCCTATATCTAGTTTTTGAGAGAATGTAATTTGTTATACCCTCAGGGGCCAAAACTTTCAAGGTTTTAATGAAAGATCACCCTGGCTGGTGTGGCTTAGTGGGTTGAGCATTGTCCCGTGTATCGAAAGGTCCATTCCCAGTCAGGGTAGATGCCCTCATTGCCGGCTTGATCCCCAGTATGGGGTGAGCAGGAGGCAGCTGATCAATGATTCTCTCTCATCACTGATGTTTCTCTCTCTCTCTCTCTTTCTCTTTTTCTCCCTTCCTCTCAGAAATCAAAAAATATATATTTAAAAATAAGAAAATAAAAAATAGATCTCAAAACAGGTTGTAGAGTCAGAAGAATGAATTATACTGGTTTCTAATATAAAAATGTCTTTTCTAGCCTGAGTATTCTAAACACATAAATCTCAGACAAGTTGGGGACTGCTATACTATGCTTTTACTTGGAACATTCTGCACATTATTTGTATAATCCACTCTAGTTCCTAGGTAGCATTCCAAGTAAATTCTTTTTCAAGTTATTTGCAAGAGAAGCAAGACTGTTGGCCTAACCTTATACACCTAAAAAAATACAGAATAAGCATAATCTGCACTTACCTTTAATCATGTTTGCAATGGGAATCCATTTCTCTTTTAATGGATCATAGAACTCGGCCTCTTCTGCTGGAGCCCCTTTTCTGTAACCGCCTAAAGCATAGACACAGCCACCCAAGGTGACTGCACAGTGGTAGTACCTGGCATTGAGCATTGGCAAACCTTCCGTCCATTCATCACTTTCACTGTTATAGATCCACACTGTGTCAAGAGCTTCTATGTTATCTGTCCTGTAACCCCCAGTTACATAAATGTTGGGTCCCAAACATGTAACACCATAGCTCTCCCTAGTATAATCTGGTATTTCTGCTCCCTGAATCCACACATTTGTCAAAGGATCCCATATGTGGACCTCTGATAAAGGATGCCAGTAATAGCCTCCAATGATATACATTGTGGCTGTGGACCTCTTGGAAAGCTCTTTATGCATGGGGTTCAAAGCATTGTATATCAGAGACCGTATCTTATTTTCTGTTAGTAGGCAGCTTCTTTGAAGGCCTAAAGCTGTTTTTAAATACATTGGATCTATATCTATGTTGATATAGCTTAGTAGATTATACAGGAAGTCAATTCGATTTCCTACATCGTAAGCAGTCCACTTAATAACTGGCTCTATGATGGCTTCTTCTTTCCAAACACTGAGATTCTTTCTGGACAAGATAAAAAGCAACTTTTCAAAGCTGACTTCCAGAAATTCTTCTTGTTGCCATACTTCCTTAAACCTTGAACACAGAATTCTCTGAGATTCCTTCTCTAGTTCTGGACATACGTGAAATTCTGCAAAGGAGTGCATTCCAATACAGTTATCAATATCCAGATGCCTTACCAAAAACTGCTCACAAGCTTTCTTTACTGAGAGGAACTGCAGCAGATCTGCTGCTTCAAGCAGGCTTTGAACATTTCTTTTCGTTATTTCAATTTGAGAAGTGTATGCATAATTTACAAGACCTTCCAAAATATCATGGTGGATGCCAAAGATTTTTATTTTATTTTTAAATTTTTCTTTCATGTCAGCTGTGAACATTGCCTTAAAATAATTGCTGCAAGCAGCTAAAACAGCTCGGTGACAATGGAAGATTATGCCTGACGGACACTGAAGGGTGATATCAGTAAATAATCCATCCAAGTAAAATGTTTTGAATGCATCCAGAAAATCCACTGGATGCGCTGAGTCCTTAAAAAGGTAAATATAATCTTCTTGTCCTTTCAGAGCCATGGCTGCAATAAATATAAAACAATAAACGTGCTTTCAATTGTGCATATTACCTCAATTAATCAATACTAAACATTCCAATCATTAGAATGACTGCTTAGCGCCAAATAAAATCCAAAACTAGACTAAGTTCAACATTCTAAATGCAAAAAGTGGATGGACTATTTCGTAATTTGGATGATGGTCAATTTAAATTCAGGGTAGCTCGGAGCCTGAAATGAAGCCCCCGGATTTTTCAATAGTCCTTTCTAGAAAAAAAATTATTTCCTACCCCAATTACACCGTCTCCATCTGTCCCGAGCAGGCGTCTGAGAGACATCCCGCTCTTGGCAAACAAAGTGCCCGAGGGGTCACCCCATTCAACCGAGAGGGGCCGGCCTCGGTTCGACCCCCATTCAACCGTTTTCGCTTTCAGGCCGCTTCGAGATGCCAAGCGGGGGATGATCGAGAGGTAATGGGACCGAGGTCCTGGAAAAGGGGAGCCCTGTGCCTCTCCGGAGGCAGGAAGGCGAGAAAGGAGAGCGGCGCGCCCCTCCCCGCGGTGCCAGGGGTTTCCGCGCCCCCGCGCCCGGGCCCGCTTCCCGCCCGCTTCCCGCCCCGCCCCGGCCCGGCACGGGGGCTCCCAGGGCGCCGCCCGCCGCCCGTCGGGCCGGGTGCCCAGGTCCCTCGGCCCCGGACGCCCCGCAGGTGTGGGACGGCGCGGCGGGCGGCCCCGCGCTCAGCCGGCCCGGCGCCCGCGCGGCCATTGTCTCCGCGCCTCCGCCGCGGGCTCCGGAGGCGGCGCGGCCTCGCCCTCCCGCGCTCGCCCGCTCTCGGTCCGCCCGCGGGTCTCGGGCGGCGGGCCCGCTGCGCACCTACCTCCGGCGGCGGCTCGGGGCCGGGTGCTGGCCCGCGGGCTAGCGGCGAGCGGGGGCGGAGGCGCCGCCGGACCCTCTGACCATCTTTGGAAGCGGCGCGGCGGAGGCTGCCTGCTAGTGCAGCTCCAGCCCACAAACGGCGCCTATTTTGGTGCCCCGGCTGCTCCCCGCCTCCCACCGAACAGCCCCCCGCGGGCCACTCGCGGGAGCTCCGGGCGGTGCCCCCGCAGCAGGTGGGCCGGCTTCCCCGGGACGGGACAGCGCGGGGCCGGTGGCTCTCCCCTCTCCTGGGGTCTGTCTCAAGCACATACTCCCCCGAGCATTTCCCCTCGACTAGAGACACACTCGGCGTTAAGTCCTGAGTTCAGAGCACATGTCGGGGTGGGGGAGGGAGTCCCCTTTTCCCTTCCTTCAGTAGCTCTCGCCGGCCGGGGTGGAGGGGAAGGGAGAGAATGCAGCACAAGGGCAGGTCTGGTGTTGAGGTTGTCTTCAAAATGCCAGGAGTAGCGGCGGCTTTCCCACGAACGCCACCCTGCCCGAGCACCGCACCCTGGAGGGAGCCCCTAGGGGTGATGTGCGCACCAGGGGTTCACCTGGGAGCTTTGAGATGGGCTGGGAGCAGCCAGGGCCAAGGATTCAGGCTGCCGTGTTTGGAGCAGAGGAGTCACCAGTCTTCCTCCTGGTGACAGCCAGTCCAACACGTAAGGATGTCCATGGGCTACACCAGAAAGTTCATTTTCTGATCCAACAAAAGCCAATATCGAATGTTTTCATTTATCATTCACTTAGTTGTAGGATTTTCTTGAGTGCCTGATAGGGCGAGGCTCTGGTAGTAGAATGGTGGATACAGCTGTCACAGAGCTGCAGGGGTGGGCAAACTTTTTGACTTGAGGGCCACAATGGGTTCTTAAACTGGACCGGAGGGCCGGAACAAAAGCATGGATGGAGTGTTTGTGTGAACTAATATAAATTCAAAGTAAACATCATTACATAAAAGGGTACGGTCTTTTTTTTTAGTTTTATTCATTTCAAACTGGCCGGATTCGGCCTGCGGGCTGTAGTTTGCCCACGGCTGGCTTAGAGTCTAGCCTTCTTAAGGGAGGAAGGAGACCTGGATGAAAGCAACACCAGAGACCCAGTGTCTCTCTCTCAGTGTCCTGAAAGGCAGACTACACAAATGGACAATGGCCAGGTCGTAGGTGACAACAGAACTCTGAATGACATAAGCAGCCCAGGAAGCCAAATCACAACCTCTGCAGCAATTGGACCAGAACAGGCAGCACTGGTCAAGACTCTACTTCCAACTCAGGGCCACCAGAGAAAGCCAACTAGACTCCCTAAACCAGTGGCATAAAATACCTCTGTTTCTAGTAGCCCATGCAGATTGCCCAGGCCAGCAATCTCCAATCAGAGCAGACCTGAGACCTCCCCCTTTTTCTCACTCTTATGTAAAGCTTTCCCATTCCCATGCCTGTCTGAGCCTCTGCCAAGGGCAAGTGTGGGTGGCTGACTCTTGCTATAGCAAGATCTGAAAAAAGAAAAAAAAAAAAAGCTGTTTGTTCTCATTTAGGGGGTTTAGCTTAATTCCACATGTCAGACCATCGCAATTGAATTATGCGGGATGCTGGTCATGCAGCATCCCCAGACTTCACAGGGATGGAGACCTAGGAATCTGCATTCTAATCAAGGGCATCATGTGATTCTTCTTTTGCAGTTAGAAGAATGTACTAGTATGCTGGACCCAAAATGGAAGAAAAATGAAAGGTTTAAAATCCCAACATCTGGTAAACAGTTTAGTAGAGAAAAAACATAAGTGAGACTTAGTTTCAGGCTTCAATTTCATCTCTGCCATGTATCTAACATGTAACTTTAAACAAGTTACTAAACTTCTCTGATCCTTCGTTCTCTGATCTGTAAAACACATACAAGAAATCAGTACTTTCTGAACCTAACATAAGGTTATTGGAAAGATAAAATTAAAAATATGAAAGCACTTAAGATGTGGCATATAAATGTTAGTTAGCTATTATAATGAAAGGATATTTAAAACCTCAATTTGGAAATTAGTATCTTATTAACATTTCTTCAAAAAATTATGAACTTTGTAGTTAATGGTAACTATAGGCAGTTTGTCTTTCATTTTCTGATGATATTGTCACTCAAGGACACGATTGTGACTGATTGAAGATAGGTCATCCTTTCCATGTTTGTCACCGAAGTGTGGAGATGGCTGTTAGTGGCAAGGATGATAAGGTTCATGTGCAGAAATAATTATAGGCTCTGGCTAATTCAGATTAGGAGCTTCTAGAATCATAGCTGCATGTGATAAATGATTCTTTAAAATTTTTTTTTTAATTTATTGATTTCAGAGAGGAAGAGAGAGGGAGAGACAGATAGAAATATCAATGATGAGAGATATTAATCAGCTGCCTCCTGCACACCCCCTACTGGGGATTGAGCCCACAACCTGGGCATGTGCCCTTGACCAGAATCAAACCTGGGACCCTTTAGTCCGCAGGCCAACGCTCTATCCATGAGCTAAACCAGCTAGGGCATAAATGATTCTTGAATAGCAGAATTTACTCTTTCCATTGAGCAGAGTTATTTCAGGTTGCTGCATAGATTAATTAAAACATTTGCTTCCATTGCCTAACATTCCCTAGTTGGGACTTACTGCTTCATAATGTATATCAACTATATGTCAATTATATGTCAATAAAAAAAAGAGCAGAAAAAGTGTATGTCAGTACACATTAGACTGATTCAAGTTGCCGGGAGAAGAGCAGGTCCTGCAGGTATTGCCCGCAGTTCCTCTTTCCCACATGCTTTATCAAAGAGACCATTACAAACACTAATACAGTTGATGCACTCAGAACATATAATTAGCAATATGTTAAATAAATTAATGACACTGTTCAAGAAAACATGTGCCATCTGTGAGTCCAAGTCTAAAGGAAATAAAGGGCCACCCTGGGGATGAAACATAAACAACTCTTGGCAGATATCAAGCTTGGCATGGAGTTAGATGCCATTTGACATCACACTTTGCTTTTCAAAAGACTCTTGGTTTCTAAAAATAACAATTCTATTTATTTGCTTATTGCTTTTACCTTATTAGTACATCTTCCCACTAAGTATTGCCGTCTCATTAAATGTTTGATATGCTAATTGTGATATGATTATCGATGTGTGTAGATGGCAGATATCTACAGGAAATTTTGTGTACTTTGCTTGCACACTGGGTTCAACAAGTTGCTGTTAAGTAAAAAATAGTGGGTATAATTTATATGGCCACAACATAGAGCTCTGTAGGTCGTGCTTGGCACAATTCATTCCACTCAAGTAGAGTGTAATATGTGAACACTGTATGTACTCAGTTGTACAGTACACAACCAGCATAGGTTGCCCGGAAGTTGATATGTCTTGGAAAAGCCTTTTTGGCATGCTTCCCAGAAAATGATAAAGTAAACATTCTTTTTTTATTATTATTTTATTTAAACAAACTTTTTTTTTATTTAAACAAACTTTTAATTACACTTGACATTCAGTATTATTTTACATATGGCACCATGCATAGTTATTACAGTGTCATTGGCTATATTCCCTACGCTGTATTCTACATTCCTGTAACTATTTAGTATCTACCAATATGTACTTCTTAATCCCTTTGCCCTTTTCAGCCAGCCCCCAACTCCCTGCCCCTCTGGTAACCATCAGTTTTTCCCCTGTATCTATGAGTCTGTTTCTGTTTTGTTCATGTATTGTATTCTTTTTTTTTTTAGCTCAAAAAATTATTTTCCATGAATTCTTTCTTAGAAAGCTACTGAAAAATGTGCTCCAACAAAACAAGAGTATAAATTGAGAAAGATCGTGACATGAGATCTGAAAGCAGTTTCCAGCAGAGAGGGTAAATGGTAGGCAGAGAATAAAAGCTGTTGAGAAGGAAGAAGAGCTTTGGGACTGGGTGGGAGAGTTGGAGGTAGGGACAGGGGAGGAAAGGAACAACAAGCTCTTTGAACATATGGCAAATATTACTAATGGATGTGTGTAAGATTATGGAACATAGGGGAGGGTGACAAATTGTTGGGTCCAGGGTTCATGTCCCTGTTCGGGCGCCAATTGTTGGGGTCCAGCCACAGCAGGTCCAGGGGTTCCCAAAGGTGTGGACGGAGTCGGCGAAGAAGGAATGACACGGAGACAGCATTCAGTTGATCGGCAGCCTAGCCAGGTTCTCCAGCCAGGTTCTTCCGCCAGGTTCTCATGTATTGTATTCTTTAGAGTCCACATATAAGTGAAATAATGTGGTATTTGTTTTTCTCTGTTTGACTTATTTCATTTAGCATGATACTTTATAGGTTCATCCATGTTGTTGCAAATGATAAGATTTATGGCCAAATACTATCCCATTGTATATATGTACCATTTCTTCTGTATCTAGTTGTCTATCAAGGGGCACTTGAGTTGCTTCCATATCTTAGCTATTGTAAATAATTCTACAATAAAAATAGGGGTGCATTTATCTTTTCAAATTAGTGTTTTGGATTTCTTCAAATACCCAGAAGTGGAATTGCTCGGTCATAAAGTAGTTCTATTTTACATTTTTGAGGAACCTCCATATCATTTTACATAGTGGCTGCACCAATTTGCAAGTTCACCAACAGTGCACGAGGATTCTCTTTCCTCCACATCTTCTCCAACACTTGTTATTTGTGGATTTATTGGTGATAGCCATTCTGAAAGGTGTGATGTGATATCTCATTGTGGTTTTAATTTGCATTTCTCTAATGATTAGTGACATTGAGCATCTTTTCATATTTCTGTTGGCCATCTGCAACAGAAAAGTGTACTCTGGAAAAGTGTCTATTTAGATCCTCTGCCCATTTTTCAATTGGGTTGTTTCTTTTGGTGCTGAGTTGTATGAGTGCTTTATAAATTTTGGATACTAACTCCTTATTGGATGCATAATTGGCAAATATCTTCTTCTATTCAATACACTGTTTTCGTTTTGTTGATGGCTTTCTTTGTTGTAAAAAAACTTTGTTTGATGTCCCATTTGTTTGTTTTTTCTTTAGATTCCTTTGCCCAGAGGAGATATGTCAGAAAAAATACTACTAAGAGCAATGTTTTCTTCTAGGAATTTTATAGTTTGGGGTATTATATTTAGGTCTATAATCCATTTTGAGTTTTTTTTAATATGGTGTAAAAAGGTGGTCTAATTTCATTTTTTGCATGTATCTGTTCAATTTTCTCAACACCATTTATTGAATAGACTGTCTTTACGCCATTGTGTGTTCTCGCCTCCTCTGTCATATATTAATTGGCCATATAGGCAGGGGTCTATTTCTGGGATCTCTGTTATTTCATTTCTCTGTGTGTCTGTGTTTTATGCCAGTACCATGCTGTTTCGATTACTATAGTTT